TACTTTTAGTGAAAAGAAAATAGTTTCCTGAATGTTATATTCATAGACGTTACTCACAATGTAACTGATTGATTTTATTAATTCATTCTAGATTGTCTTAGATACACCGCTAAATGTCTTCGAATCATAAAGTAAATTGGATAATTCCCAATCGTATTTCTTAAACATTTTTATTAGTTCTCTATAATTACCTTGATTTAATGAATGCTCCGATTAATCGTGTCCCCTAAATAATAATTCCTGATAACTTAAAAAAATTACAATATCAATTAAACGACGTAAACATTTAATCTGGCTGTATGTATGATCTTTTACATTTGCTACATTTTAGGCAAAGAATACCCCTTATTTTTAAGAACAATTTGTTTTTTGTATGAAATAGATGAAAACCCATTTTGCAAAATATAATTATGGTCTGTTTTTTAATCAAGAGGAGTAATTCAAATTTTACGCGCCGTAATGCTTGTTTGTAATTGGTCTAACCACAAGCAAGTTCACTCCACTAAATTATGACATATTGACACTAATGACATTTGTAAAATTTTAAAATTCTAAGTTTATATCTACGATTTTTTGTATTTTCTGCGTTATTCCTTACATTTTTAGATTTTTCGTGTGCATTTATATAAAAAAATAGTTCTTTTCAGAACTATTTAGCGACCTATTAGTGTTATTAAGATAACAATATGGATTCAATGCCAATTACCTACTAGTGATAAATATTCTTCTCTACCTTACAAACTTCGAGTAGATTTGGGTCATTTATCATTAAATGAGAAACAATGTATTATAAACTTGTACAAACAAATAATGAAAATTGATAATTCTAGAATGAAAATAACAGCCACGGTAACAAAAATAAAACAGCCAGTAAGTTAGTTTTGCAGAATAGTTATTGTTAAAATCAGGACTTATTAAGTAATGTGTAAATTTTAGGTGTGGTGAATTCAACTATTCACCGAACAATAAAAGAATATAAGTAGACTGGAACAGTAAGATGTCCTAAAAATATTGACGGTCGACCTTCTATTCTTGCAACATACGATGAAAGAGATAAAACATATGTACGACAGCTAGCACACACCTTCTTTTTCAAGAATAAAATGCCCTTCTGAAGTGAAATTAACAACCGCTCAGATCTTCCAAAATATGTGTCGTTCATTATTATATAAATTCTTGAAGCGAATCAATTTGAAGTAAGTAAATAAGAGTTAGCCACAACTATATAGTAAAATTATCTAAAACATTTTTTAGGTTTCATTTTTATACTGTGTATATTATTGTTACTACTAAATAGTTTTTGTAATTAAGATTTATAAGAAATGATTATAATGGTACCCTTCTTGTTTATTCAAAATATTTTTCCTATTTATAGACATAAATACAACAGCCTTGGTGTTACATGTTTGTAATATGTAACATATATGTAACAGCCTTTGGAAACATACCAGTGTACAAATATTTTTATTTTAAGTATCATGTACTTATATTTCACTGTTTCACTGTCTTCACTGAAGAAAAGGAAAAACATGGATATTTTTTACTTTACATATTTATAAGCAGATTCATTGCAGCAAATATTACATAGCATAACTATACATAGATTGTTTATCTTACTGTTTATAGGATGATTGATTTATTATCTATATTATGAATGTCTTACCATAGTTATTTTTTAGGTGAAATTATTTAAAGAATGGTTTTTACATTGGGCTGCTGACTAAAAAAAAACTTTCTTGCTCAAGCATCTGAAATAGATTTGGATTTTGCTAAAAAACTAAATGAAGAAATTCAAAATGGTGCAGTTGTTCATAAACCTTACCAAGACATAAATGAAGGGGATTTTTTGGAAAACTAATAAAATTGTTAAATTTTTATGTTTACATACGTCCCAAATATAACAATGTACCCCAATAGGGGTATTCCAATAAGAATGTCTTGATGTTTTTTTTAAACGAAAACGGTAAAAATTGCTGTAAATAAAAAAAAGTATTGCAAAATATAATAGATAACAATTATGTTTCGAATAACACATCATTCAAATGTCCACCGCTACTGCGTTTGCAGGAGCGAATCCGATGAAACCCAAATATCCGCATTAATCTTACGAATGGTGTGCTCTATGTCCCTCTTTAAGTTTTAAATAGATTTTGGTTTGTTCATATAGACCAATGGCTTAACATAGCCCCATAAAAAATAATCCAACGGTGTTAAATCGCAGCTTCTTGGAGGCCAAGCATCTGGTCGAAGTTGCTGAATTCTCCTGGGATCTCTGGCATCAAGAGAAATCAATGTTTCCGGGAATTTTTCTTCAATAAATCAACGGTTGGGGCAGTAGTGTGATATGTGGCACCGTTTTGTTGAAAAACATGCCATCCAAATTAATCTCATCCAACTGAGGCCACAAAAAATCCGTTATCATCGTTATCATCGTTCGATACCTTTCACCGTTGACTGTTACACTATGTTTGAAAAAATAAGGTCCGATAATGCCATTTTGCCATCAACCATACCAGACAGTGACTTTTTCTGGATGCAAAGGCTTCTTAAGAATCTCATGTGGAATATTTTCACTCTAAAAACGACAATTTTGTTTATTCACAAAGCCGTTTAACCAAAAATGAGCTTTGTCGGAGAAGATTATTTTTTTAAAATCTCGCCATCATTTTTGAATTTGTCTAGAGCCTAATCAGCGAACCAATGATGCTTATGATGGTCAAGTGGCTTCGGTTCTTGAGTAAGAACAATCTTGTAAGGATGTAGCACTATATCTTTTCTCAGAATTCGCCAAGTTGTCATTCTGGTGAGGCCAAGTTTTTGAGAATGACGATTTACGGACACATTTGCATTCTCCGCTACACTGGCTCTTATAGCAGCAATATTGTCCTGAGTTCTTGCACTTCGGCGTCTCGTTGGTGGTTTCGTATCGTGCAGAGAAAATTCACCTTCAAACTTTTTTACGATTTGACGAATTACACGCTCATCAGGACGATGATTTGGTCCATAACTTTCGCGTAATGCACGATAGGTATTCACAAAAGAACGATTATTAGCATAACATTTTAGGATAATTTCCAAACGTTGTTCAAGCATATATTTTGCCATGGTAATTTGTTAGAGTATACTAAAAACCAAAGTCAACAAGTGACAGTTTTACCATTTTCAAAATGGTCGATATGACATTTCAAAATCAGGACGTCCCTATTGGAAAACCCATTATTATGCACAGAATATTATTATCTAATATATAATATATAAATCGATTTCTGAATCTTTAAGTTGTCTGTAATAACTTGGACTTGGTGATATGCGAACAGTATTAATGTGATATTTTTATAGATGATAATTATACTAAATATAGTTTAAAGTGTTTATAAATTTATAAATGTATATTATTTATATCTAATTATCATAAGAAACACGGCACTATCTTTTAATTTTTTTTTTGTAAATGGTATATCCGTCAATACATAAATAATAACTTTAGTGTATACTTGTTAAGATGCATTTTGATTTTGTTTTCATTACAAATAAAAAAACATTAGTAAAGTAATGTTATGTTTTAGTTTGATTGTATTAATACAGTTGGTTTTGTTTTTCCTGGTTGTAGATTTTCATAAGAAAACTGCAAAATTATTCTAGAATGTAATATAATAGATTGAATTTGTTGATTATCTCACAGAAATCCAGTATCTATTAGTAAATTTTATTTATTGATAACAAATGGGATACACTCACTCTCAAAATTAAACAAGAATCTAGCATTAAAGGAATTGCAAGTACACACTTATTTATACAAAGTATCTTTCTTCTTTGAATGATTCTCTCTCCTGTTGCTGATAAGAATGTAGAGCGTGGAATAATTTTTAATAATTTTAAACTGTTTATCCTTGTTTTAATGTAATGTTATGTACAAATTATGTCCAATTTCATGTATATTACATTCTGCGCTTGCTGGATGGCCCAAACTTGATGAAATGCCTCTGATGATGCTTTAAAAAACGAAAGTACTTGGGCAAGATTTGATTATTATATTTGTGCTCGATGTATGCCCTAATTTTTCAAAGTTAATAATTAAATGTACAATAGATTAAAATTTATTAATCTCTACTTGGTCCTAAAACTTAACCACGCCATTTAAATACAAATGACTTTGTAGTAGGATCATCGAGCAATAAGACAAAAGAGGGAATGTAAAGGTAGTGGGGGTAAACATATTGATAGACAGGAAGTGCCATCTTGAGAGGCCACTTTAGACAAGGATAGACAGTCTCTTTCCTTGTTTAAGAAGTCAAATTTAGTTAGGTTATGTTATTGTTTGTCCCAACTGTCACATGAAATTTTATTTATATTGAAATCTTTTACCAATTGTGTCACTTTTTAGACTATTATAGTTAATATTTAATTAAAACTTTCTCGTCTGAAAAATATTTTATAGCTATTGTTAATAAGTGTTGGAAAATTTAAATTTAGCGCCTTTGCATTTCCGGATATGTCCGCCATCAGAGGCCACTTTTTTGGTCTCCTTTTCATAACGATTAGATTCCCTCTTTTATCTTTTTGCTCGATGAGTAGGATTTAGACTAAGCTTTTCTAAAATGAAATGGTACGTACTTGTAGTTCTTTGTTATTGTAGCATTATAATCTAATTTCGCAACTGAGGGTTACCCAATTTACTAATAATAATAACAATAATAATCCTAATTCATTTTATAACTTTATATCGTTCTGAAGCTATTTTCTTGTGGCATCAAATACCGTTTAATAACCGTCGATATTAATAACTACAATATATTTTTAAAAAAAAAACACTTTATAAAATGTTCAGATAACGATTTCTGAATTAGAAGTTGAAACGTCAATAAAGTTTCTTTTTTTAATAAAAATATTGTGGTTATTCCTATCGAGACATCTATAACTTTTTTAAAATCATAAAATATATATTTTCTTAAATTAAACATAAACTTTGAAAACATTTTCAAACAATAAATTTAATTATGTCAATCACTTTGCACATCTGATTGATGGTCCTTATTGTTGGTGAGCAACAACTTATAGAAGAGATGATACTGGGAAGGAATAATGTCTTTATTGCACAGCTCTTCTAAATCCTTATATTTTTTCTCTTTTATTGTTCCTTGTCCTTTATATGCAGTTGTTAAGTTTGGCATGGAAAATTTCCTAGTTTTTTCCGGATAACCTTAAAAGACCCATGGGTGTATAAGGTTTTGTAGAGTTGCCACATACACCCATGAATGTAGCGCGGTCATAGTAAACATATGCGATCAATGTAATGCCGGCAATATTTCGAATAGAATAAAATTATGTAGGCATGTCAAATGGACATTATACTAAACATCTGTAATACTGGTTGCCGACAACAAAGGCTTAAAGAACGATATCACGTCAGTTGGCTTCTGGAACTCTACTTACTTTACTTTATCGTGTCCGGACATGTCATTCATAAAATTTTGGCCCAGTATCGGGCTACGTCGGTTCCATCTTTGTTGGCGAGCCACAAATCTTCAAGGGTACATCGATGAGGACAGTTTCTGCATGTAAGAAGATGTTCCATATTCTGTGTTTCTCCTCAGTCACAGTTCACATCATCTTGGTCTATTTTTCCCCATTTTGCCATGTTTGATTTTACTGTAGCAACCCCCGTTCTTATCCTATTCAAGGTTTTCCACGTTTTAAAGTCTAAGGTCTGGCCGGTCCATTGAACCTGGGGAGCTGGAAAATACTCAGGCGGTTCATCCTGCACTGTTCCAAGGCAGCAGTTACGCCATTGCGCAACCAGGACGTGCGCCCCATTTACTTCCCGTTAGCTTTCTGAGTATGCTGTTCCAAGTTGTTACTTTCCCTCTTGTTTTTATGCAATGTTGTCTGTAGGTGAGGGACCGGTCCAGAGTTACTCCAAGATATATAGGTTGGTTTGTGTGTTCTAATGCATTACCATTCCACACAATTTGGAGTTTTCGCTTGGCTTCCTTTGTGCGAAGGTGGAAAGCGCAGACTTGGGTTTTAGAGGGATTGGGTCTCAGAGAATTCTGCAGGTAGTACGCTGTCATTGTTTTTAAGGCAGTTTCGAGTTTCTCCTCCACTTCTTCAAAACTATTTCCTTGAGCACATATTGCAAGATCGTCAGCATAGAGGAAGTGCTTGGTTTCGGTCGGAGTAGGTTGGTCGTTTGTGTATATATTGAAGAGCATTGGTGCTAAAACACTTCCCTGTGGAAGGCCGTTTTTTTGAACTCTCCACCTACTTACTTTACCCTCCAGCATAACGAAAAAACGTCTATTTTGCAGTAAGGAATATACTACCTTTTCCAGATGGTGGTCATTGAGAGTGTCGTATAATTTACGGAACAATGTTTTGTGCCTTACTGTGTCATATGCTGCTGTCAGATCTACAAAAGCCGCCCCTGTTATAAGTTTTTCTTCAAAGCCCTCTTCAATGTGTTCTGTTAATGCGAGGACTTGACTGGTACAATATTTGCCAGATCTGAATTCTCCTTGTTGTGGGATGAGGTGCTTGTCGACATTTTTTTCTATTCTGGCGAGTATGAGTGTCTCGTATAGTTTAAAAAAGTGACACAATAGCGAAATAGGTCTGTAGCTACCGGGGTCTTCTGGATCCTTTTCTGGTTTTATCAAGGCTATTGCTTTAGATTTCCTCCATGATTTTGGAATTTTGCAGGTTTTGCAGCACGTGTTATAAAATTGCAAGATCCAGTTTTTTGCTCCTTGGCCTAAATGCGTTATTTGTTCACTGCATATATCATCCACACCTGCAGCTTTCCCGTTTTTTAACCTGTTCAGACCGTCGTGTAGTTTTTTTTAGTGTAAAAGGAGTTTCTAGGTGGTTTGTCTCCGAATCCAATCTTCTCTTAGTGTTTGGGTCCTTATATCGGTTAGTAGTTCTTCCATTCGTAAGGAGTTAAGTAGCGACTTGGTTTGCTGTAACCTTGCAAGGTGGTTTATGTTCTTTTGGATCACCGCTGAGTTTTTTTACAAGGTTCTATGCTATTTTGCTACTATGTGTCATGTCCATTTTTTCCAGGGTCTCAATCCACTTTTCCTGTCTGGCTTGACTTAACTGTTGGAGTAGTACTGCTCCGCACTCAACTGTTTCTTGGCTAAAAGGGTCAGTGGAATAGAGGGTTTCGTATATTCTCATTAGTTCTTTGGACTCGCTGGACCTTCCGGGAACATATTGTTGTCTACATCCTCTAGGGATAGTTTTTCTAGACACATTTTTGAGTACCTTCTCTGCTCTCTGCATACTTTTGCCAGTTTGCCTTTTTGAAGTTAAATCTCCTTCTGAATGGAATAGCTTGTGGTCTGACAATTGGGAAGATATTTATACCATAAATACTCAGATATTCTATGCTGAGTTTTTGGTATGGGGCCATATACTACTTTGGTACATCGGTCTTCGAGGTTGTTGGTTGAAAAACAGATATACAGGTTATATCCTCTTTTCCAAACTTTGCTATGAAAAGATGGTGGTGAAAAAGTTTAGGATCATAGATTAACGTGAGGCCACTCGTTTCGGCCCATGCTTCTACTGCGTCTCCATTTGCGTCCGAATCTGCATAGTCCCAGAGTAAACTGTGACTGTTAAAGTCTCCCAGTATAAGCTGATTGGCTTGTGATTGAAAATTAGTTGGGGGTGAAAATATAAAAGGCTGGTTTGGGGGCTTGTATGCCGAGGTGATTGTGCATTTTCCGATCTCAGTGGTTATTATCTCTATACCGTGTACATTTGTTGTTTCCACAAATGAGACTATGGTTTGAGTTCTCACAAATACTGCGCTCCCATGCTTATTGTGTGGTATCTCCGCAATCAGTTTCATACCAGAGACTTTCGGTCTCGCTGCAGTTAGGTCTCTGTGGGTTTCCTGGATGCACAATACCTCACATTTCGTGTTCTTGCAGAATTCTGATAAGATGTCTTGTTTGGCTGTAGTGATGCCCTCGATATTTATGCTCGCTACTGTCAGTGTTGGCTCTGAGAAGAACCGTTGTGGCTTGATCTTTGCCATCGGATTTGGTTTGGTCCGGTGTTGGAAGGATTAGCCGTCTACTAGTAGACGTTTCCAGGGGACGCCGTCAATAGTGTTTACTTTGCAGTTGATGTGGCACTATTGATCTCGTGGAGGCTCCTTCCTTGTCCCCCTTCTGGCACTCTAACTGCCGGACTTGTGTGTATTAAGTCATAATGTAAACAGACAAATGTCATTTTTTTGTGTTTAAGTTGTGTTATTGTTTTAAATCACGTTGTTGTTGACAATTTTAAAAATTATCAAAATATGAGCGCAAGCGTCCTCTAAAAGATGATGAATTGCTACGTATTTTAGAATCTGAAAAGGAGGATAAATAAATGTCTGCAAGATCCATTGGTAAAGAATACTCAGACAACACTGATGAGTGGTGTACTGATGATATAAAACAACTCCGCAAGGTGAAATGTCCGGTACTACTACTTCTGTTAGAAATTCTCCTACGTGGGTAGTTATATAAGAACTACAAAAACTTAAATTTTTGAGCCGTCGATCATGCTTGGCAAACCTTGACAGTAATAATCCAATTGATTTGTTTACATTGTTAATTGATAAGCATTTTAAATTAAATTAAATTACATTAAATTCTTTATTTTCTTTTTGACAAACATAGTTTGTATAGAATTAGTCATAAATATACATTGCTACAAACTAAACACTAAACTAGACTAAACAAGACATGAAATGAATTTAAAAGCTAAACGAAATACAGCTAATATCTAAGATCTAAAAAATTCTTCGATTGTATAAAACACTTTTCACATAAAAATTGCTTTATACATTTACAAAATTTACAAATACATTATCTAACGTTGTTACGCTGGTATCCGTGACCCTAGTTGGCCAATTGACAAGATTAAAATTAATATTAAAATTTAGTAAAACATTGAGTAGATTAACATGGTCGTTAGTCATATGTCTGGTATCTACATTAAAATCACCACATATTACAAAACGTATATTTGGTTTATATAAACAATTTAAAATACCTTCGAGGTTATTCAAAAAAATACTTAAATCACCAGACGGTGATCTTTAACAATTTAATATAACATATGAGTTATTTTTCTTGTCTTTTAAAGAAGTAATACAATATTCAGAATGTTTATCAACACAATATTGCTTTATCCTAGAGTTGAGTTTGTTATTAAAATTAGGACCTTTTCGAACCCAAATTCCTACGCCTCCTCCTCTTATTGAGTTATCTCGCAAATAACAACTTGTTAGGATAAAACCTTCAATGTTGACGTTCCCAATAGAATTATTTGATTCCCATAATTCCGTTAAACAGATAATATTTATGCTCTTATGAGAAGTAAGTTCTAAAATAACATCACAAATTTAATCACTATTTATGCTTTGAATATTTAACAGCATTAAATTTGGATTAAAACTTACCCCTGATTTTGAGGTTGCCCCCGCAGGTATAAAAAACTATTTACACAAGCGTTCTTAGGCCATACTGCAGGATACATTGCCTTCTTGAAGTGTTCTTGGTGTATCCGTACTTTGAAGGATGCATATAATTCAGGACGACGGGAATTCATCCCCTCACAAGTGACCTCTGGAAAATGAGGCTTTAGATGCTGTACAATAGAAGCCGCTGTTGCAGTTGGTTCTATTCTGTATACGTGGAGATCCACAAATTTAGGAGTACCTTTTATCGTGGTATTTGAACTTGTACCTACAATAGCTTGTCTCTGTCTTCTGCTTCTATGACGAACTTCTTCCCATCTGCCGTTGTCTGAAGAGCTGCCTTCTCCTAGGGAAACTATTGACGTCATAATTTTTTCTTGTTTCGTGATAAGATCATTTTTCTTATTGGACGGTTGAGGCATAGATGTAGAGACGGTAGTTGACTTACATTTAGCTTCTTTTTTTTCTGTAACGTTTCATGATTGTTTTCAATTTCACGATTGTCTTCTTTCTCCGTAGATTTGCAGACATTAGTATTATGAGATTTAACTGTTTTGTCTGAAGATTTGGCAACGTTCGAACTAGAAGGTGCATTTGAAGAAATATTTTTCGATTTTAACAAATATATTATTTCATCCTGACGTTGGTTACCTTTAGTAAGTTCACTGTTTAAAGCTTTCAAGTATTGACTTTCAATATTAGAAAATTTAAGATCACAAGTTAGCTTATTGATTTCTAACCTCAACTCGAGATTATCACTGTTGATCACACCATTTTCAGCGGACTTATCAGTCTCCCTGTATTCTAAGAGTTGTTTAATACTTTCACTCACTTTTAACGAGTCTGCCACCTTTTTAGATATTAAAATTTTTATTAAATCGGACTTTTTTTTACTTACCAAAATGCTGTACCCATCTTTCTCTCTGAAAACACAAAACAGAAGTCTCGTATTACCTCCTGGAAGGAGCTGACTGTGGAAGAATTAAAAACTTGTATTGGAATATTATTCTTAAAAGATACAATTTAGATTTGAAATGGCATGGTTATGCAATACAAATTTTTCAATTTATTTTAGGTAGGTATGATACAGATCCCAAGATTGTCGAAATACTGGTCCGCACACAGGTTGCTCAAAACTAATTTTTCGAAGTACATGTCCAAAAACAGATATTTTCAATAATTATGCGATGCCTTTATTTTTCAGCAAATGATATTAATATTCATGGCCGTATCCGTAAAATACGTCCTGTAGTGGATCATTTCAATAGCAAAATGAAATCTAATTATAACTAATCTAATCTAATCTAATTATACACTCCAGGTAAATTTTCTGTAGATAAGTCCATGATATCTTGGATATAAACAAAAATACTTATATTCCGGCAATATATACAAATTAAACATCATAAGTATGGTATAAGAACCTGATGGATTGGTTCACAATTTCATCGTTTACAGTAGATCAGGGGATAAAACCAGCGGTACTGGTCACACAGAAAAAGTGGTATTGAAGTTGTTAGAGTAGAAATACAATTTTGGAAATTCGGTATTTATGGACAGGTTTTATAATAGCTATGAATTGGGACAAAAACTATACTTAGAAATAGAAAAAGTAATCCAGTGCCTGTTGTACAAAAAATTTACAAAAATTAGAGAATAAATCCGTATTTCGCAACTGAGTTAACGTGGGCAAGTAAAAGGACAAAAGAGAGGTAATAGGGAGTTTTTGTAACTACCTAACGTAACGTATCTCCCTATACGTAAAGAACTTACGTATCGAAGAAAATGAAGGTTAAATTGAGAGTTTTTGTTCTGCACGTAACGTAACGATGATGTTGCCCTCATCGAATTAGTGATAAACTAATAAGTTGACAGCGTCAGCAGTCTCAGTCTTGTCGTCTTGTCCTTGTCCTTGTCACTTATCGCTAAACAAATATTTTTTTGAAAAATTTTTAATTTTGGAGATGGACGCAATATTAAATGTAGGTGTCTTTATTGATGATGAAGAAGACGAAGACTTAGAAGATGTGCTTCTTCTCCACATCTTGCACGATGAAGAGCAATAGCAATTAGAGCAATAGAGCAATTAGGAAATAGAGCAATTCTATATGGCCGCTTCAGTTTAGATAACAAGTCTGATATAGAATGTAAAAATCTTTTTCGCTTTGCCAAAAATGATATACCGAGACTTGCTAGGGCTCTTGATTTACCAGATATTTTACAAATTGAAAATGTCACGTCTGTATCAGGTAAGTTTCATAGCTGCAGTCTACACAATTTTTTAAGTTTGATGAGTCAAATAAGTGTAAATTGTTTTAGGAATCGATGGATTATATATTCTGTTGCGACGATTTACGTACCCTAATAGACTTTCAGATCTATAGCCTCTTTTTGGATTTTCTGGATCTATTTTATCACAAGTGTGTACATACACTTTAAACATAATTGCAGAAAATAAAGGTCACATACTAGTGGATTTAGGGAATGTTCCACATTTAAACTATGAAAAATTAAGTGAATATTCTCATGTTAGTATAAAAACGTTCTTGTAAACAATGGAAGTTTTTAATGTAATTAACTTTTAGGCTATAAGAAACATGGGATGTCCACTTGATAATTGTTGGGGGTTTATAGATGGTACAGTCAGACCAATTTGCAGACCTAGCATTAACCAACAACTCTATTACTCTGGACATAAAAGGCTCCACTGCCTTAAGTTTCAATCTGTCCTCTGTCCAGATGGAATTATTATTAGTTTAAAAGGTGCTTTTGAAGGCCGGCGGCATGACTCAGGTATCCTTAGAGAATCTGGATTATATGAAGAATTGGAGCAAAATGTCTCCTTTCCAAACCATCGGTTTTATTTGTATGGAGATCAGGCATATGGTTTGAGAGAGTTATTACTCAGACCTTATACTGAACATGAAATTAGAGGAAATCAACAGAGGCAGCAGTTTAACACAGCCATGAGGGGGCTTCGTGTAGCAGTAGAATGGGGTTTTGGTAAAGTGATACAGAACTTTGCATTTCTAGATTTTAAGAAAAACCAGAAAATTCTCTTTCAAGAAATAGGGAAGATGTATAGTATAGGAGTGCTATTAACAAATTGTCACACATGTCTTTATGGTGGAGAAATACCATCATATTTTGGCATAGATCCTCCATCATTAGAAGAGTATTTGGGTGCAAATAATTAAAGTATGTATTTTTTAATAATCAAACAAAATATTTTTTATAAATTAAAACCAGATTTATTTAAAATTGCCTCAAATAATTTTTTTGGTTACTAAACAAATCTAGCTGCACTTGCATCTTTTTTCTCCATCCCCATTCCTCAATTGAAATTGTTAGTCCTGTAACATTTTTTCCTCACTTGAAGTGCCAATTATGAGAAGTGACAACTAGTGATCACTAGTTCATAAAGACCACAGTAATGTTCAATATTTCTAAAGTAGAAAAAAACATTGTGTAAAAGATGTTACTTATGACAAGACAACGCTCAAAATCAAAGAAATGAAAGAAAAATATATATCAAAAATTGAAAATCAACTAAGACATATAAAAGAACTGGCTGTGGAAAATATGGATTCACAAGATAAAAATAGTATGAGTAAACAGCCAAAAATCAGAAGTATTTGAAATGAAGAAAGTTGTAAGACAGGGAGATCCTCTGTAACATAGTATTGGAAAATGTACTAAGAGATTGTAAAATTCACAGAGAATGAACAATATACCATTTAAGATATCAGTGCTTGACATATGTTGACAATTTGGCTATAGTAACGAGAACAAAAAAAGAAGGTAAATAGGTAATGGTTTAACTCACAAATACCATGAAGAGATATTTATGCTTTAGAAATAAATGAAGAAAAACTTACATTGTGACGAGAAATGGCAAAAAAGCAGTAGAAAACCTTAAAATTAGTAGCAGTGCTGAACAAAAAAATCTACAAATTTGAGAACAAAGATAATTTCATTTATCTAGGAGTGAACATAAAAATATAGAAAGAAGAGAAATCAATGACAGAATTAAAATCCAAGATACTATCAAGAAAAATAAAAGAAAGGCTCTACAGAACTGTCATGAGACCAGCCGTGCTTTTTATTAGTGCAAACTGTTGACACTAAATAAGAAATGGTAATGTCAGAAGTATCAGAAAAAAAATGTTACTCAAAGAATAAGAAAGCTGGGGCATGTAAAAAGACTTCCTGAATAAATAGCAACAAAACAACCTCTGAGAAGAGACCAAATAAAAAAAAATGAAAGAAAAGGCCTAGAAGAAAATGGATAGATGCAATAGAAGACAATTTAAGATAGGACACTGGAAAGGAAATAGGAAACATTTATAGTATAGGAATGTTATTAACAAATTGTCAGAAATACCATCACATTTTGGCATATATTCATCATAGGAAGAATATTTGGGTGTAAATAATTAAAGTAATAAATATTTTTAATATGATTTTTTTATTAATTAACAAAATATTTTTTATAAATTAAAACTAGATTTATTTAGTATTGCCTCTAGTAATTTTTGTTGGTTACTAAATAAATCTAGTTGAACTTTCATTTTTTGTTCCTCCATTTCAACACGTTTCTCCCTTTCCCATTTTTCTAATTTAAATTGTTGCTCTTTTAAACTTGTTTCTCTCTCTTGGAGTGCCAGTTCCCTACTCCGGATTTCATACCAGCGATCATTTTTTTTTGTAGATATTCTATGGTTGATTGTTTTAAACCAACATTTCGTCTTCGTGTGGGAGCTACAAATAAATGATAAATTTACTTAAATAATTTCAATGAATTAAAAATTTGTTAAAATCCTTTATAAAAGGTATATAAAATTGCCTCAAACGGGCTATCACAAACACATTGCAAAACGTTTTCGGATTAAACAATCCATCATCAGTGCAAACGGTTGTACATGCTAGTAGCCACCAAAATATATGGGTAAAAACCCTTTAAATGTTATAAATTTGAAATTGTTTTACATTATTAGTGTTTCTAATTTGTGATGGTTAAGTTACCGTTGGATAGGTAACATGGCGGCGTATGACTCTACATGAGTAAAATGGTCCTGAGACGAAGTGCCTACGAGGACCTGTTGATAACAACAGTTGTTTAATCCGAAAACGTTTTGCAATGTGTTTGTGATAGCCCGTTTGAGGCAATTTTATATACCTTTTATAAAGGATTTTAACAAATTTTTTTGTGATATATGGTATACAGCCAGCTACAGGAACTTAGTTTCCTCGTGGAATTAAAAATAACATACTTAAAATGCTCCTTTTTTTCCCTGGTGTATCTTCAACTTTCAGTATCTGACTTGGTCCTGGCTCCTCATTATTTTTTGGACCCTCACTCTCTATTATTTCTTCATTAACTGTAGGTAATATAAATAATGTTTAAAATAACTGTGTAATTTATAGACAGTCTCTAACTTACCATCAATTGTAGATGTGTCATCGAACAGATTTATTAATGCATTTTCCCTTATGGCTATACTCTCTTGGTGGCTGTTTGCTTGACTTTTACCCTTGACAGAGGGTAAAAGTGCAAATTCTCTTGACAACCCAACAACATGATTTAATAGGTCATCCATTTCAGAAACTTCTTCTTCAACTCCTGATCTAAAAAAATAGGAAAAATTCAGTGCTTGTATTTAATTTTGTTTATTTAAATGTTTATACAAGAGTACATTAAAAAATACAACAATGTTTACACAATATACAATTAATTATATTTAAAAAAGATAAATAAAAATGATGATATATTATTGTTTTAATTACTTGTATTTAAATATAAACATATGCTCTTATCTTAGTTTTAAATTTTTTTTATTTTGTTTATACCTTTTAATCATGATGGTACCTATATTATTGTACATCATAATTTAAATAGTTTTCTCCATAATTTTACTGAAATAAAGTCATTGTTTAGTGAAATAATTGTGTTGATTCCTATATTTCTTAAATACAAGATTTGTTTCTATTTGTTGATAAACCGAACAAAATGTATACTTACTTAATTTGAAGTTTCTCATTCCTCTGACTAAACTTAGTTACTAAGTTTTTTATTCGATCTTTTATTGCTCGTAGGCTCGCATGTTTTCCAGTAATTTGGAGCATATTTACTTAGATTAACTTCCATCTTTCAGGATTCTCATACGGGTTCTGGCCTACGACTTCCTTTGACAAGAATAAATCATCTTCATTGCTGAAGTGAAGTCGTTTCCTACTGTATACCATTATTGTGATAATTCCACAACAAACAAACAAATATTAAAAAAACACGTGCCACATGTGCTGCCGATGAAAACGAAAAGTGGATGTTGATTTTGCCTATTTTCTATTTTGGTAATCGGGTTCGGGTAAGATCCCCTTGTGCATTCGGTAATTTTCGGCTCGATAGGGATGCGTGTGAACGTAACGTATCAGCCCGTTACGTTAGGTAAGACGTATCTAGATACGTTGGTTCAATCATTAATGCGCATGCTTATATGTCAAAAAGATACGTTACGTATACGTATTTGCTTGCACAAAAACTCCCTATTATACTTAACTACGGAATTTGGTAATACAATCACGGAAGCCATCAATAAACGAGGTCAAGCAAAGTTGAAACCTACAGCCATTTATGAATATAAAAACATACGTCCGGCATTGACCGTCAAGACCAAATGCTCGAATATTATCCGTGCTCTCGGAAAACTTTGCGTTTATATAAGAAATTGTTTGTTCGTATACTGCAAATATTGTTACGAAATATACCAATTTAATACAATGATTATTCAGAACAACCAAGAAAGTCGCTATATACTTTCTTACTATTAATTTTAGAGTCTATGTTGCCAGAGGGTGGTGTTGAAAATAAAATTGACCTTGGAGAGTACAAATTAGAAAAAATATAGAAAACAATTGAAGCAAATTACGGTACAGGAGATACTTCAAAAAAGGTAAAACGAGTCCTAAGGAAGGAGTGCATGCAGGAGGCAAAATAAAAAAAAGCAATTATTTATGTTTGCACTTTCATTGGATCACCTGGTTTTGGTGTCGAGTGTTTTTTTTTAATACCGTTCGCCCTAAGTGATTTAAGTAATTAAGTAGTGGCAATGAACGTGTTAAGAGAATCGTACAGATGCAAATCAAATTAAGCTTTTAGAGTATAAAAGTACACTTAAAGTCAGGTTACTTATAATGATTAACAAGCTCGGCTGCGAAGAAGGCACGTAAAGAGTCTTTTGATCTATATTCTAGGTACTCATCATTTATTTCTAAATCATGTAAAGCACATCCCTATTTAAGCAAAATGTGTTTAAGTCTTGTATACATACGGTATATAATGTGTAATTTTAATAAGCTCTACAGAAATAATAGGGTGTCCATTATAAAGGGCTGAAAACAATATTCATGGCATGCTATTTTGTTAACTATAAGATAATTTGGGTGTTGTTGTTTGATAATAATGTACAAATATTCAAAACAAACGTTAAAACCCGGTATAATATGTTATATTGTTGTTATTAATATTTTTGGTTGTCCCGGTTATATGTAACAATAGGCTGTTTCTCTGGGCTAAATTCTATTGTATTGGTGTACAGAATAACGTCGACATACACTTTATATAGAATTATAGTATTTTACAAAATGTTCTTTGCTAAAATGTTTCATTCAGCTACACTTTTTTGCAGCAGCGAGCAACCATTTTTATAAGTAAGCCAAAAACTAAAACAAAAGTGTTTTATTCAATATATTTATTAATATATATATATATATATATATAATATATATATATATATATATATATATATATATATATATATATATATATATATATATATATATATAAGTGAATGAGATACATTCACAATATAAAAAGTTAGATACCTAGTTATTCGTAATACTTAGTGAACGTTTATCCGCCAATATTTTTCTCGCACAGCTTTCTTAACCATGTATTGCGCGATTTTTTGTACTGTAATAAAAACAATGTTTTTAATTGCATTAGTGTATAAACTTATGCCTGAAAATAGTAAAAAAAATCTAGCTTAGAAAAATACATACATTTTTTGAAAAATCTTGTTGTACCATATATGATACATAGGACAGATGAGATAGACTGGATACGTGTCAAAAACATGAAAAAATGTAAAATGTATATATCATTGACACCACCACAAAAAGAGCCATATATTCAACAAAGAGAAGAAAAAACTAGAAAAACACAAATCCCACCTCCAATTATTGTAGAGAGTATTACCTCATTTAGCCAATGAATTAGTCAGACTACATACTGCTAAATTCCAGATAAAAGTACTTGGAGTTAACAGCGCTAAAATTAATGTCGAGATTGAAGAAGACTTCAGAAAATTAACGAAAAAGTTGAGTAAAGTAAATTATCTTGTCTATGCAAATGTAATACTCTACTGAATTGCCTTTGTATCAAGTCTCAAAAAGTGCCTCTCGGTGAACGAGAGTTTTTATTAGATCAAAGAGGTCCGAGAAAAATGGTGATAAGCACAGTTGATAGAGAGAGAACAAGAAAATATATTCAGAGAGAACAACGACAAAAGACGAAAGATACCGTAGTTATTGAGATTGATATTAATCCAATACCTGAATGCGATTCATCTTCAAGTTCAGAATTAAATAATTTTATTAATGATAATGATGATGATGATTTTACGTTTCAAGATGATGTTTCTGGACCTTCAACCTCTAAAGGTGTCAACAAAAATTAAATGAGAATTCAGTTGAAAAAATTTGCAAAAACATGTGACAGACACGGCATATCTGATAGATCTGCAGGTGCTCTTGCATACGCCGTTTTAACCGATATAGGAATAATTACATCAGCGGACTCTTCTAACGTTATCGACAAAAGTAAAGTTAGAAGAGAAACGCTTAAATTTCGTTCCAATATTCAGAGACTACAAGAACATTCGACGATTAACATAGGTGGGCTTTACTTTGATGGACGCAAAGATAAAACTTTAGCTCAAGTAAGAAAAGGTGCAAAGGTTTATCGTCAAACGATCATGGAAGAACACATAACACTTGTGCAGGAGCCAGGATGCAACTATTTGGGACATGTTTCTCCGCTGTCCGGTACATCCGAAAATATCAAATCTTCCATTATTGAATTCCTAATAGAAAATTCAATCGCATTACAAGAAATTGAAGCTATTGGTTGTGACGGCACAGTCGTAAATACTGGCGTTAAGGGGGTGTAATACGACTGTTAGAAGAACATCTTCAAAAACCGCTTCAGTGGTTTGTATGTCTGCTACATGCAAATGAACTACCCCTTCGACATCTTTTTCACCATCTTGATGGAGATACTTCTGGACCTAGAGGATTTTCAGGTCCTATTGGTAAGCAGTTATTACAATGCGACCAACTGCCAATCGTTGCGTTCAAACCAATTAAAGGTAATTTACCCACGATTCCCGAAAGTATTTTGAAGGAGCTTAGTACAGATCAAAAGTATTTGTATGAAATGTACCACGTAGTATCCAGTGGCCAGTGTACTACCAGTGTTACAGATCGAAAACCCGGACCCCTGGCACATTCAAGGTGGGTAACAACTGCCAATCGCATTCTTCGGCTCTATGTATCGAGTATCGTGCCACCGGTGAACTTAATCTCACTCACAGAATATATTATGAAGGTATACGCTCCAATGTGGTTCAGCATAAAATCCCAACCGACATGTAAATATGGTGCAAAACATCTTTTTAAAACCATTCAATTATCTCGGTACTTAAATAGCGAATTAAGGGCTGTAGTCGACGTTGTAATTCAACGAGCTGCATATTTCGGTCATTGTGAAAATATACTTTTAAGCATGATATCGGATGAACGACTCCATATTCGGGAACTTGGATTACGCCGCATCTTAAAAGCAAGAAGGTTTCCAGCGACAAAATCAAAAAACGTGAGAGTCTTCAAAATTTCTCCTATAAATTTTGATGCAAACGACTACTTTGAGTTAATTAATTGGCAAGAGTGTAACCTTACGGAACCACCTATCTTCTCTAGAGTTTCGAATGACGATCTGCGAGATTTTATTAAGAATCTGGACTTTTAATATTGAGAAATATCACTGCCACACACAATGTGTAGAACGATGTGTCAAGCTTGTGACAGAAGCTTCTCAAGCAGTTTGTGGAGCGGACTCGAGGGATGGATTTATAAAAACGCGAGTTGATTCCAGAAAAACTATGCCTCACTTTAACACTAAATCAGAATACATCTTTAAATAGAATTGTTTTACCATATTTTTGTAATACTTCTATAATACACCACTTTAAATTTATAGTTTTTTTATTTTTATTTCAGTATTAAAAAAAACGTTGGTGACATCACAGAGACAGAAGGAAAAGTTGGGCTATTTTGTTATAAAAAAATGTTGGAGAATATTTTTCTTAACTTAAATTTTTAATTGATTTGTAGAACCAGAACATATTTTAAACCGAATTTATTAATTTAACTTTTATAAGGTATTACCTTTCCGTTACAAAGAAAAATGCGCCTGTTAATGTATTTTTTCTAATTTTGAGTGCCGAGGGGGGGGCAGAAAATATATTTTTAGTTCAACGCAATTTTACTAAAATATTAAATAGTGTGTTATTTAGGCAACTTTTGTGAGGTATTCCATTTTCGTCTCAAAATAAAAATTATTTTGTCTGTTAATATTTTTTCAAAATTTTTAATTGTCTTGGGGGGGCAGAAGATATTTTTCAATTTCGACCAGATTTTACCAAATTACTTACCAGTTGATTGGGCAACTTTTGTGAGGTATTACTTTTCCATTGCAAAAAAAAACAACTATTTAAAACATTTACACAACCAATACCGATAAATAGTAGGACTTTTATTATGTAGA